TTCATCAGATTCAAACATTTCCACTTCTTGTAAAACAAAGATGTCTTTTACTAAATAATTCACTTAATATATTTACTGCCTTGGTAAATATCAACTCGCTAGTTTTTTTCGTAAAACGAAGTTTACCAATTTGTTATGCTCAGCAGTTCCTAATTTGCTTAAAAATTTAACCTTCTTTCCATGAATGGCAGTCCTCGTTATACACATCTGTATATTTTTTATAATACTCCTCAAAAGTTATCTCTTCATCTGGACTGTATATGAATATTTCAATTGAATTCCATATTGTATTCTCTGGGAAAGAATCATTTGTAGATTTTTTCTTTCCTCTTCTCAGTTATTTCCAGAATTTTTTGTTTGAAACCCCTATGCATCTGTTCCATTTTTTGTTGGAATTGCATTTTTTTGTCTATTGAAAGTTTCCTCCTGTAGCTGCATCTGGAATGTTTTTGTTGCTCTAATATTGTCATCTGTTGTTCCGACTGGAACAAGAATTCCGGGAATATATTTTTGCATTCCTACATCTTCACAAAAAAGTTTACACAATGCCTATATACTGTAGAGGCGGGGGGGGGGGTCATACGAATTTGCAATTCGTGACCTATTTGAGCAAACTGTATTATCAAGAAAAGAAAAAAAAATTCTTTTCTCAATTATTGTGGCGAGCGAATTTTTTCTTCCTCCGAATGAGTACGAATTTTGTCGCCAAAAATTTTTTCTTCCTCCGAATGAGTACGAATTTTGTCGCCAAAAATTGTTATCGTGAGCGAATTTTTTTTTCTTCTACCGTATGAGTACGAATCCCTCTTCGCCAAAAATTGTTATGGCGGGCAATTTTTTTTTTCTTCCACTGTATGAGTTCGAATCCCTCGTCGCCAAATATTGTTGTGGAGTGATTTCGCAGTGGAGGCTTGTATTTGTACTAAGTCAGTCCTAAAATAGGTTCGACGTACAAAACGTTAGGAACTTGATATAATAGGCATTACGCAGAGAAATCTTGTGGTCGCTGATACTTTCGTATTTGACTAACTGTCGTCCGGCATCGACTGACTGACCGTCATTTCTATTCCTACTCCTACTTATATTAGGTGGGAGAGTCTATTAACTATAGAATAGGTGTGTTTCACCATAACACATATATATGCATACATATACATATATATATACATACATACATATATACACACATACACACACAAGTACGCACATATACATATAAATCAAAATGTAAAATTTAAGAAAGTAAAATTTAAAAAATTTTGTCTCAAAAAAAAAAAAAAATTTAAATACATAGCGCATCACATAAACATACACAATGATATATATAGATAAACATAAAAGTCATTCCATTAAAATGTCATGCCTAATGTTATTGAACCAAGATGGAACTGACATAAGTGACAACATGTTATAAAATGGTGTTTATGTTTTGAATCGTTTCTTATGTCTACATTTAGAAAATATCTCATTACGAAGATTTAGCAACTCATCTTGATTCTTATCTTTAATAATAAAAATTTTTCTGCCATGCACAGATCACACCGATCGTGGAAGTTATTAGGGGTTCTAGCTCTTGATAAGTTTCTCCATTTTAAAAGTGGGGTTAGTCCCTTATCCACCAGATCACAATAGTGTTTGGATAAGGAAGTTTGATTTCTGAGGTATCTATATCTAAAAGAGCACTTATGGTTGTATAGACACTGCTTCCAATCACCAGCAGATATACCTATATATCTTTTTTTCTCCCGAGGAAAATATAAACCAGAAAAAATATAATTAAATTTTAAGTTTTTAGCTTCAGTTTTTGAAACATGGTTATTAATGTGTAGTGAAAAAGCCATATTTTAAATCAGTTATTTTATAATATATATATATATATATACATACATACATACATACATACATACATACATACATACACACAGTCCCCTCCAAAAGTATTGAAACAGCAAAGACAATTCTTTAACAAATCTAAATGCAAATACCAAGAAATAAAAGCTCAAATTCTGAATATTCGTCTTTTGATCTTAAACCCAAATATCTGCAGTGAACAACAAAAACAGACAAATTGGCTTTGCTGTTCCAGTCCTTTTGTAGGCGACTGCATATATATATATATATCCATATACAAGCCTGTTTTGCTGTATAACAGCTCATCAGTGTGGCTAGAAATCTAACTGCTCCAAGCCAGGATTGAAACCCAACTGATTTGGCATCAGTTGAAGATCCTACACCTAAGCTATCGGCATATGGGAGAGAAAGTATTATATATAAATGTATACAAATACCAGCAGCCAGAGTATTCAATTCTTTAATGAAGATTATATATATATATATATATATATATATAGATAGATAGATAGAGAGAGAGAGAAAGACACACACACACATATATACAAGTAGATTTATTTGAATTCTGACTTCCATGTATCAAATATGTTTAGTGATTGGTGATATGATATCTTTTTATCAACATCTAACTTCCCTGATAAAGTGACACTTCGCTTAGAACAATAACAATGGTTTAATTTCTGAATAATCTTAAAATAATATTAAACTTGATGCTTGGTTAACTTTAGATCTGAAATTTTTAATTTTAAATTCAACTGCTAACTTAAATTTAATTTTTATATTGATTTCTGATTTAATCTAATCTTAACAACTTTAATGCACTAATAGTTTATACTTATACCAGTGTATATTGTGATGTTATTTTAATTACTATATACTTGTATTCAGATTGGTCATCATAAGTTATGTAACAAAGTTTCCCCTACTGAGAGGGTTTGGTTGGCTTTTGAACTCATAAGATCATTTTCCATTCAACATCATCACTTGATAAGACACCAGCAATGTTGAAACAAAATTGCAACATTTGTAGTGATCTTATAACATGTATATGTTATTAATTTGAACATATATATATTTCTAAACTAATGGATTTTATAACTCCAACAAATTTTATCACTTTAAATGTTATTTTTAGAGGATACTGATATTTGAGTAGATGCACCATTTAATCATTATTATATTTATTTTCATCTACTGTCATGAATATTTGAGGAATCATATTAAAGAAAAATATGTGCCCTCTGGCAGGATTCGAATATGCATCTTGCTGACTAGAGGGAACTGTGGTTAGATTTTAGAAAGAGGAAAACTAGGAGAAGAAACATGAAAAGAAAATCAGGTGAAAGGAAAAAATAAATGGGTGAAGGGAGAAAAGAGGTGTAAAGGAGAAATGGTATGAGGTAAGAAAGTTAAAGAAAAAGGAAACTAGGTGAAAGAAAAAAGTAAATAGAGGACAAGGAGAGAAAGAGGAAAAGGTAGGAGGTAAGAAAGTTAAAGAAAAAGGAAACTAGGTGAAAGGAAAAAGTAAATAGAGGACAAGGAGAGAAAGAGGAAAAGGTAGGAGGTAAGAAAGTTAAAGAAAAAGGAAACTAGGTGAAAGGAAAAAGTAAATAGAGGACAAGGAGAGAAAGAGGTAAAGGTAGGAGGTAAGAAAAGTTAAAGAAAAAGAAAAACTAGGTGAAAGGAAAAAAAGTAAATAGAGGACAAGGAGAGAAAGAGGAAAAGGTAGGAGGTAAGAAAGTTAATTAAAAAAAAAACTAGGTGAAAGGAAAAAAGTAAATAGAGGACAAAGAGAGAAAGAGGTAAAAAGGTAGGAGGTAAGAAAGATTAAAGAAAAAGAAAACTAGGTGAAAGGAAAAAGTAATATATATATATATTGAGAGAGAGAGAGAGATTGACATGGAGACAGAGGCAAAAAAATGGCATGACACAAAAGAAAGACATCCTTTTTGATTAAATCTCATTGAAGGAAAATTTAAAAGCAGAAGGGATTGAAAGGCATAAAAATTGCAATACATTAGAATAAAATAAAAAGAGATAACGCAAGTGAAGATACTTTTGCATACTTTTTCCTCACATGAAGCTAATCTTTGTTTTCATAAATTCTAAATAAAAACATAACCAAGAAACAAAATTGGAAAAGATAAGAGAGAATGATAAAAGTGTTGGTTGAAGTAATCCAAAAAGTAATTTGACCCAAAAAGTTTTGAGTTCATTATCTGGACACAGCAGAGGTAAACAAAAGCTTGGAGAGTTGATTCACTAAAGGGAATTAACTGATACTGAGACATTAAAAAAAAAAAAAAAAAAGGCATGGCACATGGAATTAGAACAATCTACCCCCATGGACTAAATAAAAGGTTTGGTTCAAAATACCAACGTATATCACCTGAAATAGGTCAGTGTATACAACAGCCAAAACATTGTGAATATGACAATAAAGATGAGGACAATAGTTTGAATGATGTAAATACTTATAATAACTAATCTCAGAAATATAGAGAGATATGTAACTTAAATAGCTGTGATGTTTTTCATACACCTAAAAAAGAAAATATAAAAAAATTACATGAAGTAAATGGAAGTCTTTCTTTATTACATACCTTTACTGAGTGTGTGTATGCCGTTTATTTCTTTTCTAAGTCATCCCAGTTATAAAACCAGATATAAACAGGAGGGAATTATGGGATCTGTTTACAGCAACGGGTAAAGACAAAGAATGTAATTTTTGGCTCAGTTATCTCCCCTGTCTTACTTAACTAATAAAATATCAGTAAGAAAAAAATCTCTTTGACCTTTTCTTTTGTTCTTATCTATTGAGCAAGCACACAGTGAGCTAAAATAAATAAAAAGAGACAACTGATAACCAGTTTGATCCTTGCTGGATACTTAAAGAAAGAAAAAGAGAGAGAGAGAGAAATTGGCATCAGGCCAGGCTTGATTATTGTTTGAGTAAATCAGTATCATGTTCTAGTCACTTAAAGAAAAAAAAACTATCTGGGAGATGGCTAACAACTTGTACTCTTTCACCCCTGATAGGCTGGCTTAAACAGACAGAAAAAAATAACTGATTTCAATGGAGCTAACCTTCAATAAGTTAATCTGAGTGACAGAAACTACAGTTGTATATAATAACCCTTTTGTATTGGCAATGTTTGAAGTAATTCCTCACAAATGACAACCCAATTCTTCAGCAAAATTATTCACAATGATTCTCTTTATTAAAATCATTTGCTGTATTTGAACAAAACTTTATCACTTTGCAAATCACCAACAATTCTTCTGATGATGTGTTGGCTAGAAAGGTTACCTTTAAGGGAAAAATGCAATTCTGTCTGCTCAAAAAAAAAAAAAAAAAAAAAAAAAAATATATATATATATATATATATATATATGTATTTGTTAATTTTTAATACTAATATATGTACACATATCTATTATATTATATGTACTTCAAAATACCATCTCCTGCATTGAATCATATCTTATTTAATGTGGGCTGTTTATTGACCTGTCACAACTTAGTACAATCTGTGCATACATCATGAACAACTAAGATGTAACTATCAACATGAGACAAATATTAGTTGACAACACCAAAATACTCTACAGCACTTAATGCAAGGAAAGACTCGAAACTCTAGAAGCTATTATTATACAAAATAAAAAGCTCACATTAAGTAAGATATCATCCATCACAGATGATATCTTGAAGTGCATTATATATATTCCAGCCAAACCCATTACATTCAGTTATGTGCTAATACCTTTGGGAAAGGTATTAATCCTCTTCTTCTCCCTCCAGCTATGGGTAAATAGCAGGGCAGACTGGGTTCTATAGCCTTGGATGGCAACTGGTTTAGGAGAAGGACAACTCTGAATTCAAAACCTGTGGAGGGTTGTTTGGGGACCTTGTGGCACGTAGTGCATCAGGTCTCTGTATGTGGTTGGTTCTGCACAAAGCCTTCACCACTATAATTAAATCATATGTACTGGTGTCTGACAGTCGGTTCCTAGGACCTGAGCTGCTTGACCCTCATACATTGAATATGACGGGAGAGTCCACCATATATATATATATATATATAGTGCTATTCTATTCATTAATGCTTGCTTTAATTCCTGACCACTGATAAGTCCTTTCTTCCTGATTTTCCAATACATTTCTATAGTAAAATCTTCAAAGCATTTACATTATACATATAATAGCCCTATTCTATTAGTAAACATTGTATTAATTTCTGACCAATGACAATCATTTTTTCCTACCTTTTAGTGCATTTCTATAACAAAATTAATCCCAATGATTTTCTGTATTAAAACCATTAGTAATTTTATATATATAATAGGGCTAGAGACGTACAATGTAAGAATGTTACTTCAGTGATGCCAGGAAATAAATTGGTCAAATACTAACATTTTAGGAGTATGTGAAACTAGGTGGGAAAAAATAATGGAGAATTTGTAAGTGACAGACATTAAGTGATATATGTAGGTGGAGAGAAATATGAAAGAGGAGTAGGACTTATGTTATATCAATGCATGATGAAATGTGTTCTGTGATATTATTGACTGTCTGACAATTCATCTAGTTAAACTGAAGGGGAAGCCATTTAATATATCAATTATAGTGGTACACACACCAACAGCACAAAGCTACTTCTAACTTCTTACTCATGGAATACAAAGGAGATGACTTGTCCCATTGTACATAACATGGCAGGTCTTAGATGTGAAGGTTTGAACTGGTGGAACTAGGGAATGAAGCATATCAGAACATTTTCTATGAGAATAGGCATAGATTAGCGAGAGGTTTGTAATGTTTTGTCTGTAGGAAAGGGGTTGTAGTGTGGAAAATAATTTATCACCCATAAAGCTGTGTAGATGCTTTTGGACTATCAAAATTTCCAGTGTCTTTATCAATGGATTGTATATATGGATTCAACTTGAGATCTGGGGTAAGCTTGAGTTTGAATAGGTGGTCAAAGCAATGAACCTTCTTGAGAGAATAACCATGATATATGAAAATTCAGGGTTTGCTCAGTAATCGCAGAATATTACTAGTTTGGTTTTAGAAGTATTGAATGTTAAAAGCCAATCCCCACCTCATTAAACTACCAGAGTTAAGTCTGAGGAGAGATCAGCTGTCAGGTGGTAGTTTTGAGGAAGATGGTGAGTAGAACTTCCTCCTTACCAATGGAATACAAATGGGAATGTAGAGGAGATGATCCTGTGTATATGGCCTGGTGGGTCCTAGCTCTGAGTCCTCCTCCTCCTAGACTGGTTTCCACCCAAGGCTATAGAACCCAGTACAACCTACTATTTACCCATAGCTGGGGAGAGGAGAGTCAGATTCATACCTTTACCAAGGGTATTAGCATGTAAGCGAATGTAATGAACTTGACTGGAATTTGAACTCAGCTCTCTGATTCCTCATGGTCTGAACTGGTGGAACTAAGGAATGTATGAACATTTACCATAGAAACAGCGATAGATTAGTGATAGGCTAGTATCATTTTATCTCTAGAAAGAGGTTGGAGGTGGAACATAAGTCCCCCCCACCACCACCACCACATAAAGATGACTTTTGAACTCTGTCAAGGCTGGGAAGTGAGGATTAGGCTTCCTCAATTCAGATATGGCAGCAATACTCAATTTTTGTCTGATCTGACTCCTGCAAAAATAGAGCATGCCATAGTATTCTCAACATTCATGCATAAACTGAACATGTGAGCAACAAGAAAGTTTAAAAGGAGAAAAGTAGCTACAAGGAAACTGCTGCAAACAATCACAAAGTGACAGCTGAAATTTCTGTAACATATTGTAGAGAATACGGGTCCACAGGTTTATAATGGAGAAGGTTGTAGTTGAGAACTCGAATTCAACATTTTCAAAATGTGGAGGAATTTTACATCTATATTTTTATATAATTAATAACAATACAAGAAGAGAGAAAATATACTAGCGTGTATGCAGATAGCTGAAAAGAAAGAAAACAGTTAAGGCTTTGGAGTTAGGAAATGTGTGTGTGGTATGTACATGCGAGTTAGAATTTAGTAGACAAGTATGCTTAAGATACAAGATGGCTGGGTGAGTAAGTCTCCCCAAAAGAAATACATGTCTTCTATCTGCCATATTCTAAAACAAAAAGAGAAAGAGAGAGCTTATGTCCTTCCTTTTATATTCCAAGCTAGTGCAATCTAACAGGCATCTTGGCAGACTAGGTGAGGGTAATCCCCACAACATAATGAGAAAAGAGAAAGTAGAGTACTTAACACTCACAGGATATAGTGAAGGCAAGAGAAACAGAACGGAAACAGTAAATTGAGTTTGTGAGAATGGGTTGGCAGAACATAATGAAAAAAGGGTAAAAAAAAAAAAAAGACAAGGAACACAAGGAAGTTGTGGAGAGCCGTGATCATCCAGATTCTGAAGGGATTTGGCATATAAAAAGAAAATTAATTTCTCAGGCTATATATTTTCATTATCATTTCCAACTCACATTTCTTTCATCTTTTATTCTTACTTTTGATCCCAGCAATCATTAAGCCTGCCAATTTGGTGGAAGTAATGTCCATGTCAGATAAGC